TTCTTGGGTCAACATATATAATGTATATTTATCAATTCAAATAAATGATGATGGTAATAGACTTGTGTAGTTTTTATCTTCACCTATTACATTCCGAAATTTTATTGTGCTAATATTAGTTTTTATATATAGGTATTTCCCTTTTTATATTTAATTAGTCAATGAGAATTTAATTTTATCTGGTTTCATTTTGACAGTGAAATGTAAATTATGTTTTTCAGATTTCAGAAAATTCCAAGATCACGATCTCTTATTCCATACAAAGATGCGATTCTTTTCTTACCAATGTCACAGCTTGCAATTTTAGCTTTTTCCTTTGTAGTGTGAAATATGTGATACGACTCTTGTATTCTTGGAATAACAATATTTTTACGTACTCTTTAAGGTATTTGGATAATCTATTTCATTTATGAAAAACAAGGAGATGCTTATATTCTAGAAATACCACATTTTTTAACAAAGTTCTAAAAATACCACAAACTCGAAAACTTCTTTAAAAGTTCATAAATTATTTGCCTTTTCATCAACTTAATATAAAACAAATTATAAATCTAAATTTGTAGTTTTTCTGAAAACTTTGAATAGTTTGTGAACAAAACACAGCACATAGTATTTTTGAGAATTGTTCTATTACATACACATGGAGATTGTAGTCAACCATTAAATTGAGCAAATAACGCAAACAAATGTCTGAATCGAACATATCAAGCATAAACTCATATAAAATGACAAAATGACGAAAACTAATACTTCGAAGAAAAAATTGAAAGTAAATTACACGTAAACGAAACTCTTGCTGACCAATTGAGCTCAAACAAGGAGAAATTGACCTGCAACAACTCCAACGATGCACGAAAATGCAACGACGTCGTTTTTAACATTGAAAGCTCCGGAATCAGGCGAGGCCATCGCTGGTGGCATTGCTCCCGGGGAAGGACCAGATGCCATTGATGGTGGCATCGGTGGTGAAGCCATGTCGGGAACTGATAATGGGCTTGGGGTTGGGCCCATAGGCATAGGTGATGGGCCCATTGGGCTCATTGATGGAGTCATTGGCATCATTGGTGGTGCCATAGGCATGGGTGGTGGAGCCATAGGCATG